GTTGCATAAAATTAAAGTCCTTGAAAAAAATTAATTAATTTAAAACAAAACAAACTAAAAAAGTTCTACTTCTTACCTCGAATAACAATCACCGCAGAATATCAAAATCAAATTTTAAGAAAAAATTGCGAGCAAATTTACTAATTTTTGTTTCTGACAGAAACTAATTAGAAAACGACCGAAACTCACAGTATAAAAAAAAATTGCTATCAATCAAAATTATAATAAACTCTAAAGAATATCCCACTGATGTCGCTTAGCCTTCCTAAAGTGCAGCTGTGCAACGTAGGATGTTTCTTTTTTTTCAGTTTTTATAAAACTTTTTTTATCTGTATAGATAAATTTATGTGGGACTTTATAGTTATATAGGACTTATAGCGTTTATATTCACTATAAACGCTGGAAGATTTCTTTGGACCAGTGTATGAAAAGAAATCATATGCGATGGGTGTATTTTCAATATAAACTAAGACACAAGCTTGTCTCAAGTAAACATTTAATCTAAAACTTGTCCCAACAATATCCTTTAATTTCTAAATTAATGTCCTGTGACATACATGAGTTTGGATATAATCCCAAGGACAAAAATTCAAGCTTAAAAACTATACTATAAATATGATCTGAGAGTATCACGAAGATTAGTTAAGTCATTAAAAAGTGATTGAGTAACGAACAGCCGAAGAAACGATTATATATATATAGATATAAGAGTAGTTGTTCTTATAAAATGGTTATGAGTGCAAAAAATGTTTATTTTTATTATTTCTCTATAAATTTGACGCCCACGGTCTGCTTTGTTTTTGCTGTGATAAATATCTCATGCCTCAAACTTATATCTTTTTTATTAATATTGACCGAATGTGGAGATTTTTGCATAAATTTTTCTAAATCGTAAAAATCAAAGAATGTTTCGTTTGAAAGCCACACCCATGTCTATACTCCAATAACGAATGATTGATGTCCTCAGGCTTTGCTTGAAACCCACTGACAGTCCGACAGTCAACGCATTAAACATGTTTAATTGGTTAATTAAAAATACTTTTTATTTTTCAAAAATTGACTATTTTTCAAAATATATTTCATCGCATAAGCAGAACTGAACTGAAAGTTGTTTTCTGGCTGAGTTCAAATTATGCGCAGCTGTGAGTCTGCAGTGCGTAAATTAGTGAAACCGCGCCAAAATTAATTACCGCAGCCCAAGTCATGTTAAAACGCTCTGAAATCGCGTCAAGAACGTCTAAATTGTTAATGGGAAATAATTAAAAATATTTGCTAATCAAACCAGTTAGAACGAATACAATCCCAGCTAAATCTGTTAATGAATAAAATCCAAAAAGATTACTTAATTAAATTTTATTTAAAATCTCATCAAAACAAATTTCAAATTATCGTCAAAAGGTTCTGAAAAAAAAACGGTGGGTGTTATTCAGAGAATATTTCTAAAGAATTACACTTTTGGGTAGTTTTTCAAAGCGATCAATAAAAGCCCACAGGTAGAGTTTAACTAGAAATTCATTCAAATATACTTAAATTAGCATATTTTCATTATATTTTTTTTAATTATAATTTATTATTTAGTTAACATTATTTTTTCTTCTTCTCTTACAGTTGCTGTAATCATTAAGCCATGTTAACTTAACAAATCCGAAAGAGTAAATTGAATATCAACGCGCGCTACCGGAATTCATAATCGATTTATCTTCACCAAATTATCAAACAAACAAAACATTTTTTTTTAATTTTATAATTAAATAAATTTATTTAAAATTATACAAAATTCGATAGCAAAAGATATACTTTGCTTTGAAGTGAAATTTCAACACCTTAACGCATTGCAACTGGGGCAAGATGCATTTCTTGCTGATTATCTTAGCTTTAGGTAAGCCATTAATGCACATTTGAATTTTTAATTTATTTTAAACTCATTTCTTTCGATTATCTTATCTATCTTAACGATGGACTTGTTTTACAAATATCAACTGCCATACACTAACTTGCCTCCAATTAATTACTGGTTCATAATTAATTATTTATTTTCAGTTTCAACCGCATTTACTGCGGAATATCACAGATCAGCCGCTTCGGCTGGTGTCAACTTTGTTGGAGATAATGGCAATGGCATTGAAAACACACTAAACAATGTTGAGGAGAAACCTCGCAATCGTCGCATATACGCACTCTGTCCACCCAAATTTCAACGCATCGGTACTGAATGCTATTATATGCCAGAAGAGCAAAGAATTTGGTTGGAGGCACACTTCTTCTGCAAGGACAAGAACTCAAAGTTAGCAGAACCAACCAAATATTCAGATCGCAAACTGAATATGTTTTTGCAACAGCATGACAGACAGTCAAATGGTATTTATATTCAATAAATAAATAATTTTAACTTCAAATTTTAATAATTGATAATTTTAATATTTTATATTAGCATATGGAGGGTATCCCGATCCTATTTGGCTTGGCTCTACATACGATTGGCTTACTGGAGTTTGGCAATGGAGCATAAGTGGCAAAAACCTGACGTATGACGCTTTCAGTCAAATGGACCCTGAGTAATATACATTCACTTTCTATATTTAAAATTTTTATTTCAAGGCTTTAATTGATGGTAGTCTTACTAGAGAGAAAATTATTTTATATGTGATTTGATTAATATTTAATTTATATTAAGTTAAATTATAAAATGATTTATTAAGCCCTGTATTCGTTTCAGTAGTTCGTATATATGATAATAAAATCATAAGGGCAGCAATCACATTATTATAATTTAGAACATTATTTATATTTGTTATTACTCATTTTCCTATAAGGATCTTCTAAGATCGTAGGTATATGTGTAGTAAAATCCTAAGGGGAGCAATCACATTATTATAACTTAGAATAAAATTTATATTTTACAGGGCCATGTCACGGGCTCATCATTAACAAAATTTTTGTTGTTTTAAATGCAAATCATAAAATTAAATGAGAGAGAATGATTAAAAGAGAGTGAGAGAAAAAACAATATATCGGTTTAAATTTGGTGATGAGATCCGAGGCTATTTGTACCTCGTCACCTAGGCAAAGCAATGTTATTCAGTAATAAACTTCAAAATTTGTGTCTTTTAGGCACAAAATTATTACAGTTTCTGTAACACTCTGCATAAGATAATTTTGATCGTTTACGTATCTCCACAAAAAAAAATCCAATGGTGATGTAGTACATGATCTTAGTATCCAATTTAGATCATTAAATCTTGATATTACACATTAGGCGAATTATTCGCAGTACAAACGTATTACGTGGCTCGTTGTAATATTCTGCTGAAACCAAACATCTTCCACATCCATACCTTCAATTTTACTCTAAAACAAATGTGGCACCTTTGGGTTCACCTTAACTATTTTCAAAAAAAGTAGTGGTTTAGCACACCTCCACACAGTTACGCGATGCTAAAAATCACGCATGTTTAGTGATTGTTAAGCGACTCATACTGTTAAACGGTGAAATGTATACATATGATAGTTCTATTTCATATATATGACCTGTATAGTTCTCCGCAACTAGGATCACCAAATAGATATCACTTCTTCAATTAATTAAGTTAATAGTTTAACATTTAAGTAAATAATCCATAAAGTTATATTTTTATTAATAATTAAATATAAAACATTAATGTATAAAACATAGTAGTATATGTTTTTAAGTTTCTATTATTATTTCAAGATTTACTTATGAGCACTTTTTGCAGGAGCAGAAGAAATTTACAAAACCATTGTGCCGTGTTTGATCCACAATTAAAATACAGGTATGTTAATAAATAAATGCAATACAAGGATTCAAATATAAATCAAACCAGCTTTGAGTTTGAGGCGCTTATTAAGGGAGAATGGCATATTGAAACAAGAGTTATATAGACAATGACTACCAATTAAAATACATCGGTGCTAAGTAATCAACAAATTAATGGGCTAAAACATAATTCAGTATACGCTATATTAATATATATGTATATATTTTTGATATGAAATAACTTCTTTACTAAAAATTATTTTTTTTTTAATATTATTTTAACAACTAATATATATTTGGTAAGCATGATTGTGTTCATTTTTTAAGTTTATTATATTTTTAATACACAATTATATATATTATGTTAATACAGTAAATTTAAAAAACAACAGCAAAAATTATTATATATTAAATGGGTTGTTATATATAACACTAAACAAACCAGCTAAATGCGATTATCATTTACTAATATCAAATAAAATATTTTAAATTTTATTAAAAGCAAGAATGTATTGTATAAGTTGATTTATTTATTAAATTTAATTATATTCTTTTTTTTGCATTTTTACAAAATAGATGGTCTGCTCGTCTATGCTCCGAAAAACATCGTTTCATTTGTCAGCATAAAATGCCAAAGGTCAGCGAGAAGAATCGTTATAAGATCTACAATAGCTGGAATCAAACGTATCCAAGACAATACGCAAATGAGGTTATTTTGGAAGTAATTGATCGTGGAAACAACAATGGTGCAAGGTAAATTATGATTAAGACCATTTTAAATTTAAAAATTTAAATTTAAATTACACAAATAAAATATTGTAGTTATATAAATTTTATATTAAAATTTTTTATACACGAATCTAAAAGTATGAATAAAATAAATAAATATTTAAGAATACGGTTTGAAAAGAAGGTTCCAAGCATTTATTATAAATATTAATAAGTTGAGCTCTTTGAATCTTATAAATTTTGTACTTATTTAGAGTATAATACGGGAACATTTCGATAGCACGTATTTTAAAGTTTTCAAAAATTAATTACGACTAAATTACTTCAAGATACTAGAATATCTTGATTATTCCTTAAAGGTTTTTTTTTTAATTTCAAATTTCAAGTAATTAAAGAACAAAAATGTTAAAAAAAAATTATTAAATAATTTTAATATCTTTATATTATTTACGATATTACTTTTTAAGTAATTGATTGATAACATAATAAAAAATGCAAAAGCAAAAAATATTTTAAAAATAAATTATGTAGATAATTTTTTTTCTTCATCCGTTTCCAAAAACTCATCCCAGTTCGAGAGGCGTTGTTGAACTTCTGTCTCCGATTCATTAATTCTGTAAAAACAAAAATTATTTATAAAAAATTTGTTGAAATATGTTAACTTACTTGTATTTAGTTTTTCCATCCCAGTAATCTGCACTTAATTGCCTTTTTCCAAAAAATCGTCCATTCATCATTTGTATAACCAAATCAGCTTCTTCCGGTGTGGACATATTTACCTGAGCTACACCCTCAGAATGACGCTGTAATAATAAAATGCGTAATATTGTTATAAGAAATTAGTATTATAATAACAGATATTATTAAAAATTTATTTATATGTTTAAAATAAATTATTTTAAGTTTAAAATTAGTATTATATAAAATCTTAAATCTATGCTATCCTTAGCCTAATACTTACATCGTAAATAATAACTTTCCGCACGGTACCACATTTATTGCATTCTTCGCGTAAATCATTTGTGTACTCCAGAATTAGTTGAACTTCTTCTTCGAAAATTTTTGGCGCGAAAAGATTTTTAATAATAACCACTTTTTCATTCTTTGTACGCTCCCCTCGTAACTTCTCTGGTCTCCAGTCAAAAAGTCTAAATATCAAAAAAAAAGTTTTGAGATAGTATACAAATTAAATTTTTCATTCAAAACAAATACAAACTTACTTTTCCTTCATTTTTAATAGCTTTTCTTTATCTTTCTTCTTTTTTTTCGGTTTTAAAGCTGGATTATATTCTCCGCGCATTTGAAATTCAGCACGCTGAACACGTATTTTATTACCACGCAGATTATACTCATCCAGTATATTTAAAGCCAAGTTCACGGACTCAATCTGAAAAAAATAGGATTATTAAAATGAACTTTAATAAGTACTAAGAAACCTAATTATATAGTTAGGTATAGTTGTCGATACCATTACTGCCTACAACAAGCATTTAGTTGTAGGAAGTGTTTCTGGAAATTTGAATAATATTCGTGCGATATTCAACCAGTTCGACTATATACTATAAAGACATAGACATACTATATACATAGACATACATAGAAAACAAAAAACAAAAGCCTTTCTCTAATTCTTAATTTTTCTTGTATTTTCAGAATAAATCGCCGGGTTAAGGCTGAGGGTAGTAACGAGGAGATCGTTATACCCAGCATACGTGCCCGTCGTCCTGGTAATACAAGAGGACGTGGACGTAGACCCCGACCACATTCCACTAATTCACCCAGTCAAAACGACGTTAACCACCAGCAAACAACTCTTCATCCAAATGATATAAACTATCAACCTGTAGCAGTTAGAATGACGACAACTACACCAGTAACACCGCTTAATGTCTACAATGAAATTTTACCGCCGGTACTCGTAACCGTGTCACCACAAACTCAGCGTAGGCAACAACATCAACGCACTCATTACGATCGTAAATTACAAAGACAACGTGAGAAAGAAAAACGTCGCATGCAGAAAAAACGTGAGCGGCAGGAAAAGATGAGACGTGAAAAACAACAACGTCTTAAAGAACAACGTCGTTTAAGAGAGGAACATCGCCAACAACACAACAACGAGCAAATGAATCATCAATCTGACGTACCTGGTCAATTAAGGCAGCATGAAGAAGAACTTGAGAGAAGACGTTTGCAACAACAGGAAAATGAAGAAAGAGCACAATTGTTAAAGAAAGAACAGGAACAACGCGAACATTTACGACAACAAGAAGAAAAGGCACAAGAGCAGGAACAACGCAAGCGTTTGCAAGAACAGGAACATGAAGAAAGAGCACGTCTACAAAAGCAAGAAAAGGAGCAACGTGAGCGTTCGCAACAACAAGAACAGGAAGAAAGAGCGCGTATAGAGGAACACCAAAGAGAACTTGAAGCACTTAAACAATTATATGCTGAAGAAGAGAAGCAACGAGTTCAGGACGAAGAGGATCAACGTTTGGCCAATGAGCAAAAACAAAAAGAACGTGAAAGAATTGCTAAAGAATTACAAGAACGCGAAGAAACAAAACGTAAAATCGAAGAACAACGTGCAGCAGAAGCACGCAAACATGAAGAAGAGCGCTTAGAAGAGGAAAAACGTTTAAAAGAAGAATATGAAAAACGTATACAAGATGCACAAAATGAATTAGAGCGACGTCAACATGAGGAAGAAGAAAGAAAACGTTTACAGGATGAAGAAAATAGACGTCGTACAGAATTGGAAGAAAAAGCTAGACAAGAACAAATTAAACGTGAACTAGAAGAGGAAGAAAAACGTACAGAACTGCAACGTTTAGAAGAAACGAAACGTTTTGAACAACAAGAATTACAACGTTTATATGAAGAAAATCGCAAACGTGAAGAAGCACAACGAAAACGGCAAGAGGAAATTGCACGCCGAGAAGCTGAACAAAAACAAATCGAAGCCGAGGAGGAACGCTTACGACAAGAATTGGAAGAAGCTGAAAAAGCGCGTAAACGACAACACGAAGATGAAATACGACGTGAAAATGAAGCTGCCAAAGCAGAAGAAGAGTCAAAGAAACGTCAGGAAGAAGAACAAAATCGACAACGTCTAGAACGTTTGAATGAATTGAAACGGGAAGAAGATGAGTGTGTGCGTAAAGCCGAAGAAGAAAAGAAACGTAAATATGCTGAACGAATCGCACGACTCTCACCAGAAATGCAAAAGGCATTCTTCGAACAACGTAAACGACGAAAGCAACAAAAACAATTACAAGCACTAAGTAATAATGAAGCTAATAATTAAGAACAAAATTACATATTCTAGAATATGAAAAATCGAAACAAGAGAAGAGAGCAAAGAACAAAGTAAAGTAAAGAAAAAAGTAAGAAAGAACTCATTTATTAAGTTGATTTAAACAAAAACTGAAGTAAAGAATTTTAAATTAGCATTGAAATAGCAGTAAATATATAGTGCATGAATAAAAACTAAATTAATTTATTAAAATTAATTTTATTAATATTTTTTTTTTAATTTTTTACTATGAAAAAATAAAATAAATTTATGTTTAAGTTAAAGATTCACGTTGCTCTCTTCTTTTAGTATTTTTAAAGAAAATTAATGAAATGAATGTTTCTCCTAAATTTTTCAATTTTTGAATTATTAAAATTAAAAATACTTTTAATTTTTAATTAATTTAATATTAATTTTTAAATAAATACTTTAAAAACTTGTCACTGCACATAATAAGAAAACAAATTTAAACAATATATTATATATAATATGTTTTTAATATATGTATAACATTTTTAGTTAAATATGATCATATTAAGCTTTATCATTTTAATTTAAAAAAAATATTTTTAATATTTTATATGTAATAAGGAACGAGTATACTCTCATGGCAGTGAGTTGAAAATTGTTTAGTAAATTTAACAATTTTTTAACACATTTAAATGTTATTGCACAAGTATTTAAGTAAAAAGCAATATTTGACTATATTTATATGTTAAGTGTATAAATATATAACAGTTTGTAAGCACACACCTTGAAGCGAGTTAAACGAGCAATTTATATATATATCAATTTTTAAGTTTTTGTTTAATTTTATTTTTGTTAAAAAAAACATTTTTTTATAACTAAGCATTTTATTGTAAATAAAATTAATTTTTTTTAAAACAATATCAACACTTAAAATATGTTTCCTTAAGTCGCCAAAAAAAAATTAAACAAATATTTGAGCAAGTAATACTAATAACTGAACACTGCTAATCAAAGCTTATAATAAGTTTTTCATATTATCGTTTGTAATTATTTTTATAGTTTTTTAAAAGATTATGTAATATATTATTTCTTAAATAAAATGTGGTAAAAAAGATTTACCATAGCAACACAGCAACTTGAAGAATTTGAGGGGAGAAAAGTCGGTTCAAAAATAGCACTTATAGACGTCTATGTAGTGCTTCTTTGCACTCTTCTTCCATGCAAATAATTAATCGCAAAAGCACATTAAGTAACTTAAATAATATTTAAAGCAAAAATAGTTTAGCAAACTAGTGATAATGTAAAAAATTTTTAACATTTATCTTTTTTATAATATATTTACATAAATAATTAATATTAAACACTTAACATTTAGCTTTTATTAACTATTAGTAACTCTTATCGTATTTTAACGTAATAAATTAATTACTAAAGCATCTTGAAATTAATTTATTTAAAATTTTTTTATATTAAACAATAACTATTACAAAAGCAATATAAATCTAAACTTAAGCTTGTTTTAAGTTTAGTACTTAGTTTATAGCGTTTTCCAATAAAGAACGAAAATAATTTATAATTGATTTAGTTTTTGATTACCTCAAGTATAAGTTGATGTCTTAATTAAAATATTATTTTTACTGTTAATTAATTTAGGATTTTCAAAGCAATTCAATACTAGAAAAATAATAATATTTTTAAGCAATCAATTAGCTAACCAAGCATATATAAAACAAACAAATATATATACATATATATATATATATATATATAAATATACACCGGAATAAAAATAAATGCTCGTACTTATGCGGGAATATCTTGTAATTGTCAAACGAAACTCAAAACAGAAATATTTAAAATTAAGTCAGCAATTGTATTAACATAAAATCACATGTTTTGCGAAAGAAATAAATAAATTAAAAAACAAATTATTATTATTGTGTTTTAATTATTAATTATTATGTGAAGGCTACCACTCTCTAAGCCTTGACTGGATTATTGTTTATCACTTCATCAGGCTAAGCAATAATTGACCTCAGATCTACATACCTCCCCGAAGAGCCAGTAACTATTCTGAGATGCGATAACGCGGTGTTGGTAATCCTGTCAGTTTTCGTAAATAATTTCAGGGCTCTATCCTTTATGTATTTTTTGAAGATATCATTTGTCCTAATGTACAATAGTACCTTAAAAAGTCTTCTCAGAGCCTGGCTTTATGGAATTTCTAGCTGGCGAATAGTAGTGTTTGAGGCTTTGCTAAACGCTACACATCCATATAGTAAGTGACGGTCGAATTATTTGGTTATAGAACAAATCTCTTAGTATTGAGATTTTCATTTTTAAATAGTGGTTGGAGGTGATGAAGAATTTTGGCACATTTCTCAATTTATCTTTCCTCCCAATTTATTACCATATATATGTTTATTATTTTATGTACTTTATTACTATTTGTAAGTCAATGCTATTTATTCACAGCTAATGACTAGGAAGGTAGTTAAGCGATTGAACGAAATGCTCAACAATTTTGAGAGTAAATAAAAAAGACCAAAAAAAGTTATATATAATCGACTAACAAACCACTGAAACCATGTCCATATATTTCTCATTTAATTGTAGTTTTTTTTTTAATTAAAATAAAAATATGCAATTTAATTTGAACGTAATTTTATGTAATTTTGTATGTATGTAATTTTGAATTTAAATTAACTTTGAACTCGTTTCAAAACAGGCCAAGTCTACGGTCCGGAGTTACGTAGATTATAAGTGTTGTTGTAACCAAATGCCGACTTAAAATTTAGCACATAAAAGTGTGACAAAAATCTGGACCATGGAGTAAAATGGATAGAACAATGTTGTATAATATACGAAATGCAATTGAGACCAACATTTGGAAGAAACGTGTTTATGTGTGACAGGTATGGTATCTATATAGTACGGAGTTATATCCTGAACTCAATTGGCCGAAGACATTTCTTGCTGCATAAAGAAAATGTTTTTCATTTCCAAATATATACAAGTTGTCGGCATATTGAGAACTTTGTTATTGAACCATCATAATCTTATAACTTGTCTCCGTATAACATAAAGAGCAGAAAGACATGAGTCAATATAAAGAGCGAAAAACCCACAACGTGCCGTGGTATAAAAGACGGAAAGCTTGATTAAAGAGAGCAGAAAGCCTATACCGTGCCCTGATATAAAAGGAAGAAAACACACGAAGAGAGTCGAACAAACTAATGTTATCTCCGTTACGGCACCGGTTGATGTATACAAAAAAAGGGACCGATGTTTGCAGCGAAGGATGAGGGTTTTATACAATGTATACATTTATTACACAGCAGATGGTAAACATGCGAGCTACTCGTCTTTTCAAACAACTAAATATCGTTCAAGAGAGACTCAAACAATAGATCGCTTTTAGGATGTCTATTAATTAATTAACATGCGACGTGCGGGCTACTCATCTTTTCAAACAGCTAAATTTCGCTCATTTTTCCCAAGAGTGACTCAAATAATAGATCGTTTTCAAGATTTCCATAAGACTTAGAACAACAATTCGTAAAAGTCCATTTATAAATAAGTACCACATATCCTAGAATAGTATGATGAAGGGCATATGAGAATGGTATGTTTGCATTTTTGTTTGAAACATTTTAAAAAAAGACTTTAACCTCCTGTAGTATTTAGTAGCTTTTGTTGATATAGCTTTAGAAAAAAACAAGCAGTGTTGATTATCTTTCTGGAACGATACGGGTAGAGATGGAGTGTCTTTGGTTAACATTAAATAGTAAAATATGATAAAATTGTTAAATGGTCCATTTCAAGAAGAAAATAACGATTAATTACATTGTCTCAGTAGATTATAAAAAAATTTTTACCCATATTTTACTATATTCAAATATATCCAACAATTATTAGAATTTTTCTACTGCTTTCAAAAGAATAGAACTGCGGTATCTTTCTTTATTATAAGATATGAAGATAAATTTTTGATTGAGTTTTCCAATCGAAACAAAAGTACAATTATTAGATTGATCTATTGATCTATCAATCTGATAATCAAGAATATCAAAGAGAAAATAAGGTTCCAACTCAACCTCTCAGTAGTTTCTGCCGCATATATTCAGTTTTAATTCAAAATATTCAGGCTGTTTCTTTGGACTTTAATAATGTGCTGTTTTCTTGTGCTTTAAAATCGTATAAAGTTGGGCGATGTTGTTGTGGAGTCATATTTCCATGTATTATCCAGTAGTACGAAAATGTTAGCAACGTCAGGTAACCACGTTTAACAATTTTAGATTTTTAAGCTTCTTTTAACATAAAAGCAATTATTGTACAGTCCATTTCTACTTGCATAAGCTGCATGAAGAATAGACTAGTTTTATTCTAGTTAGACTAAAGTTCTAGCTGCTCAAATATTCTGTAGTGGTAACAAAAGCGCTGTTCCACACAAAATTTAATTTAGTGAATATATACATATATCATGATAAAATTGAAGTTATGATAATTATAAAGAAATTTTTAAAAACTCACCTTAATATAATCACATAATCCGTCTCCTTTAATTTGACCATCGGCTTCAGTGTACAATTTTAGTTTACTTTTTTGTGTTTGTGGGTCACGCATGATGAGACCACATTTTCCCATCAATTCAGCGAATTCTTCCAGAGTAATATCTAATGGCAAATTAGAGACATAAACTTTAGTATTGTGCTCCGGATCCATGTCAAACCATTCTGTGTAATAAAATTAAAAAAAACGTTTAAGTTCAAGTTTTTTGAAGAAACGATAATAACTTACTTGGTGGATCCTGTTTTCCTTTCCGTTTTAAACCACCGTCACCAGCTGTGCCTTCCGCTTCAGTTGCCATAGTTGTTCTTATTTCCTCTTCCATTCTTTTTAACTCATCCTCTTTTCTTTTCACTTCTTCTGCTTCTTTTTTACGCCTTTCTTCCTCACTTGCACTAGTATTATCAATGAAACCGTAATTCATTTGATAACGTGCCATAAAGTCGTCATCAATTTTAGGAAACCATGCTTTTTTCGATGTATCCCAGAAAAAAACTGCGCCATCTTTGTCCGTATAGGTGCGATGGCCATTTTCATCAACACCATATGTAACAGATTCAGAACTTGCATTTCCATATGTATTAACATCAGTATTTGCGGTTGAGTTTTTAGTTGTTTTGAGTTCCCAGCTGTTTGTTTCTGCATTCCATTTGTAGTGCTCGGTTTCCGGATTTTTAGGTTTCCATTGTTTCGTATCTGTACACCATGAATAATGTTCATTTTCCGGTTGTTCTTCCAAAGAAACCCATTTTTCTTCTTTTGCGCTCCATTTATATTTATAATTTGTTTTAGGACACGTATAAATCGCTATGCCATCATCTGTATAAGTTATATGCTCTTCACTGAATTCACTATTAGTGGATTGTGAAGTCACAGAATCAATTTTATCTATAGGTACGTCTTTTAGTTTCTGTTTATTAGTACTATTTGTTTCTGGTTTTATTTTACATTCAGTATCATATTGTGATAATATACTTTCCTCCGTGAGACCCTCATCACTTTTTATGGTTTCTAGTTTCCGTTCGCATGGACTATTATTGTCTAAATTCTTTATATCCTTGCTTAGATTATCATTTTTTATCGCATTTTCGGCTGCACACTCTTTATTATTATCATTTACGATGTCTGTTTCCGTGCTGGAAACATCACACATGTTGAAGACACCTTTAAAAAAATTTTAAGAAAAATATTTAGTGCTTTGAAGTTCTATATATAATTCATTATAAATAATTTTAGAACATTTTACGGAATCATATTTGGAAGAGCTATAATATTTACTATCTATTGTTTGCAAGTGTATTTAATATATTCTTGCCATATCAAAACTATAGCATATTATATGTGGGGTCAGAATATTCCGGAGGTAAGACATGTCTGTCGTAAGAGTCAGCTAAACTCCCGGCACTATCCGATACTGTTTGGAGTGTTAGAGGTACTGAGTAAGTTTTCAGTTGCTGTACTTAATTGAAGGTGTGTATTTGGTACCACGCAGATCAGTACCTGCAGCTTTGGCTGCTCTGACCAATTGAGGTTGGCAGTGTGTGGCGGTTGCGGTTAAAACCCAAACTTACACGGGTAGAATGTTTGTATTTATTTATTTTCGTTAAGTTTTCCAACCGAGTGCTGTGACCGAAAGTTCAGCAAAAGTATTAGTAGGCCTTGCGTCTTACCAAAAGGGTAATTAATCTGGATACGGTAATGTGAACACCGTAATGTCGAGCTTTAACGACACGTAATCCCGTAAATTACTGGTCATGTATGCATGAATTATGTCGTAATATGAAAACCCAATGAACTGAACATTTTTAAATCTTTACAATAAACGTTATTGTAAACATATATAGTGAACAAACTATTGGGTTAAAGAGATATCACATGTTAGATCTATTTTTTAGAAATTAAATTAAACAGTGTGTACGAATAATTAGAACTATTACACCATTATTTGAATGTATTTAACAGTTGGTCTCATTGGAGACAAATTGTTTTTGTGAAGTTACTACAATATAAGCAATATAATTTGGTTATTGTTAATAAGATAGATTACAAATAAAGTTTAGAATAACAACAAAAAAGTGTAATTTACATCCCAGGATGAATGTAAAACTCACAATGTCACAATAAAAGAATTTAGTCTGAATCTGGAAGAATGATAACCTATCCTACACATATATAAATTATATAGTCACGTTTTTTTAATGCCATTCTCAATAAATTCCTATCTGAAAAAACTCTTTTCTCTTCCCTACTACTCTTCCCTACTACTATGCAGAATATCCTATATTATTGAGTGACATTATAAGTAAACAAATTAAAACAATAAACTGCAGTCCAAAATATTAAATAAATTGTTAAAACGTGCTTATGATTCTGACATTGACGTTGAACAACCGGAAGCCGAAAATTTCACTTCAACCAAAAGGAAGTGGAAAAGAAAACAATTATTTAGTTTTTACCCATGAGTGTGCAGAATATTTACCCAACGTGATGAATAAAAGTTTGTAAATAGAAAAGAACAACAAAAACGACAAAGTTAGTTACCAAAAATAGGATGAAGTTAGTCATAGTCTGTATGTAGGTATGTTTGGAACCAAACGAAGAGAAGGTGTCACTTGGTCACTCAGATTAGTAGCAAAAAATTTTTTTTCATAAATAAACAAAAAAATTATTAGAATTTTTTTTTAATTTAGTATTGTGAGGAAAATGTCTAAAGCCAAAGGTTATGGAAACCTAAATCCGAACACGTACCAACAGAATCTTTATTGAAAAAATATCCTTTAAAATTAGTTTTGATATGAAATAAAATCTTATGTATGCCACACAGGAAAAATTAATTATAAAGAATATTTGACGTAAGACAAGAAATAAAAATAAATGCACTACGCGGTCCTGTGTGCTTCGCCATTTCGCAGAGTCCTTATGACAGTCGTCGGGCAACGAATATTGACAGGTGGCTTAAAGAGTTTCGAATGTGCCAAATATCGATCTATTGGAATTCACAGTTCAGTTACCTTTGAAAACTGTTGAAGCATGCACCGAAGTATGTTTGTAACTTGTTTCTTTAGACATTGTCCAAGGAGGTAGGTATGTCAAAAATAATTCATACATTCAAGTAAAGTATATATTTCAGCTTTTAATAATAAATTTTGACTAGTATTTTTATGAGCTTCTTAACAATTTAAGTTAGTAAAACAAACAGCTTTGCAATTCACATGCTATGACGGTATTTGAAGAGTTCAATTAAAGTAATTTGAATAAATTTCTAAATTTTAAAATTAGTATAAAGGTAAATGTACTTATAAAAAATAAGGTCTATATTACGGCAGTTTACAATAAAATTGACATAGGAAAATTTTAGAGTTCAATAAACTCAAAAATATAAAAACAGAAACACAAAAACATGCAATATACCTGGTATATTGATCTCCTAATTGCTTTTAAGTACAGGTGACTTTATTTAGTAATCAGAAATAAAATGATAGAAATAGTTTTATATGAACAAAATACATTTTAGGCGTGGTTCAAAAGATGCTTTAATTCTTATGAATTTGATTAAGTTACTTAGATGAATTGATGTTTAATAACACAATATATAAAAATATATCAGAAAACTAAACTTAGAAGCGGGGAGTAGTTACGTGTGATCTAACAACTCTTTAAGACCAAAACCATTGTATGACAACATAGTACAAAAACCCGAACCTAAACATAGCTTCCTACTTTATCATGTTAAACCAACTACAACACACAGCTTAACTTAATTGGAAACTCTGTAAAAGAACTAGTCGAACTGTTAAGTCGGAGTTAATGTTTCATTTAATGCTCCTTAATCTCATAAACCGGCAAATAAAAGCATTCACAGCGATCAAAAGTTTGTTCATGCGTTTGGTTCTCTCATCTCAGCACAGATATCTGAACTTAAGATAGAATAATCACTGACGACTATAACCTACACGACTGAATCGACAGTGGAAACTTTTCTAATAAATTGGTTCGTAGCGTCTTGACTGTTGAAGAGCGTTGTAGCATTTTTCAATGGGATATAATAATAATACACTACACAGCAAAATGATGCCGAGCCATACAGTTTCCGATATCAATATCGTAATTTTCTTGGACTGCTACAACTAAGATATAATTAAATCTTTGGTAGTCTTTACAGCTTGATCTTATGTTCAAAGAAATTATTGTAAATTCTAGAATTTGAATATTTTTAAACTATATCTGATTTTGGAGAGGTTTCCAATTAGAGGGCTTCGGTAGCGGGGTACGTGATGAAGTTTTTTCTGGAAAACTGGAAGTATTAAAAAAATAAATAACAAGAATCTCTGATTTATACCATCTATACCCTATATATTTTGTATTAAGGATAATATTTGCTATCTTAAAAATCGCGTTCATGGAGCCAGTTGTTTTTGGTGATCCACAACCAGTCTGTACTACTCCCGGATTACTACCATTCACGAAAGAGAGGATTTAAGCCGGCTTCTACAAGAGTAAGAGAAGTATATGTGTTGCAATAATAGAAGCACCTCAAAGAATAACTATCTGATAAAAAGTACACCCATCTGTTGTAGTTGAATTGATAATCACATATGATATGTTGGAAAGTGATTACCAGTGAATTACTATGAATGGGTAGTACGGAAGCTATTCTTGACTGAATAGGGTTCGTATAAATATTGATTCACTTCTACATCTTTAAATTTAATATCTAACTTAAACGATTAAAATTAAGTTTTCTAATAATACAATTATGAGAAATTAGTCAATTTATTTGATGTACAACTTAATTTAATGATATACCTATCAATTTAAAATTGATATTAAGAAATTACAAAAGTAAAATAATATTTTGATTGGTGTCTTCCAATGAACTCAGCGAAAATGGCACATAAAATATTAAAAAACTTATTAAGGAACGTGAAAATAGTTCACCAGGTTAGTAATCGAAAGTCTTGAATTAGTTTTTTAGTTAAACTGAGAAATTACTTCTAATTGGTTGGCAATAATTTTTTGAAAACATACCTCAGCTTACGACACCAACTATCCAATTACTGGTTAGATTAAAAAATATTAATGCAACACGCCTTGATGACTACACTACAGAATAACATGGCATACATATAAATTCAATGGTAAATGTAGAGAAGAGAAATTTCATATAAACGTGATATACTGCTCTTGACGTGTTATATCCATGTTATACATTTAGAATGTGGAACATTGTCCTAGTAGAACCACAACTAAGCCAGAAGCAACAAAACGAAACAAAACTGCAATCAACTTGGCTCGAAAGTTTATGCATTTGGAAAAAACTGCAACTAATAACAAAGCCAACCGTAGTGGCGTGCCATAAACTGTTGTCGATGCAATAAAGGCGTAACCCTTAAAATGACCCATCATAGTTTACCCAACGGACCATATGTGTTATGTGGTAACAATAATACGAGCGAATTAATTAGAAAAGTACAACAAGTGGCATTAGTGGAACTGCAAATTGAGAATTCAAGTATAAAAACATTTATAATTTAAAGTTTAAACAAAAGAAAAAATTTTTATTAAATTTTAATTCTAATTCTTATCAATGCTTTTAATGCAGTCATTAAAAATACTCCAAGGATCTATATGTTAATTAAATTCATATAAAAATTTTGAATTAATTTTGGTTGTTATTGAAATTAATAAAGAAAAAAGATACAAGAAGGATGATTAGAATGACATCTCCAAGTTACTATTACCTGTTTTAATAGATATTTTTAAAATCTGTAAAAGTTAATTAACTATTGCAATGCATTGATAGGACACGCTTTAAATCTAAATATCGGGTTCAAGTTATTTTTGTCTTTTTCACATTATCTTTTTCTAACAGAACTTCACATGTAGCAAATACCAAGACCATCAGTTTCATATGGAATTACGCCATAACTATAGTAAAAAGGAGTAAAAGAAGAAGACATTTGCCCCATTGATATATAATAGTAGATATGGTAGATATAATAGGGTTGGGCATTGTACCCTGTGCCACACCAACGCTTATTCTTAACAAATTAAAGTAATAATTTTTTATATAGTAATATAAGATTATAACGAACACTATTTCTTTTATTACACTGAAACAAGTTGATTTTATTATACTAAAAAAAAATTAAGTGGAAGATATG